TGTGTGTGCGTGTGTGTGTAGAGGCAGTGGTCCGGCTATGCCTTATCATTGCATTGGTACTCACGCTGAGAGCAACATGCTGAGCCTCATCAGAATGTGTGGTAGTGTCGCCGTAGGCGTGTAGAGGCTGGTTAAACCACATCTCGACTACAGCTCTCTCTGTTCTTCACTCAGCTTCTGTTTATGACATTCTTGATTTGCTTCCTCTGTTTTTTTTCTCTTTCTCTCTCCTCTGCCTTTAATTTGATAGGCAATGAATTCATCCTTTATTTAATCAATTAGTCCAGTTGAACTAGTTTTTCAGACCTGAGAAGAAAAAAAATAAGCCATTAACTTGACAAAGAAAATACACAGTTTGATTGCAGTAGCCACGACAGAAAAACATGACAAATATAATGTATAAAGCAATTAGAAACAAGACATTATTGCTGTAAACTGAAAATTTAAGTTTTGATTAAGGTGAGTACAACTTCAGAGACTGTTTTTTTTACAGAGTGTAAAACATTTATGTTAAAATAACTTCCTTGGTGACATGACACATCCTCTGGCAGCTGTACTGGAGGTCATCGGCTCTTGGCAACAGTGGCAGCGTATAATACGGTTCGATCAGGAACCTTGCAGGCTAATTGGTCTGCAACATGAAACAACCCAGCGGTTTGGAATTGCATTTTATATTTCAAACTATTTAATGACAAACACAAGCTTCTTTTACAGGTGTGTCAGGGTTTCCTGGCCAGTTATATATTTATAAAATATTTGCATTCAGCATCTAAACCAGTGACAGCTGTGGCGTTATAGCTTCCCAGGTGTGCTGTTAAAATTAGACATTAAATGCTATTAGTGCACTGTATATGGGAGACAGGGGCAGGGACTTTACTGAAAGTTCACTGTTTGTCATCTGTAACCTGGTTCCAGACCTCTAAATGCCCACAGCTGCATTTTTTTTCACCTATTCAAATGAAGATGAATAATGGAGTCAAAATAAAATGCAAAGCCTGTTATAAGGTGAAACATTACTGTGTGAAATGTGAAAAACACAACCTATCTCCCACCTAACCTGCTCACAGCCCCTAGAGCAAGGGGTCTCAAGCTCAAATTGGTTTGGGGCCATCGCTGGTATTATAGTAGGGCTACTTCAGAGCTCAAGTTCTACAAGAAAGCACAATATTCTGAAAATATTCCCATTACTAACGTCATACCTAACAAAACATTTTTATATCACCTTTGTTGTTTGCAGTCTAACAGCAAATGAAGACCCGAGACCTGCTCTCTTCTTTTGCTGTCACCTTTTACCTTTGCCAATATTTTGCACCTAACAACATAAGAGTAAAAGTATAAATGACTATAAAACAAAATCTTGTGGGCAGGATTTTATTATATTTTTGACATCATGATATGAGTCAGAGGGAGGATGATAGAGCTCCAGCAGTTTGAGATCCCATCCTTAGAGCCGGGCCTGCATGTTTCGATGTGAGTCAACAGTCACTCGCTGTCAGTAAAATCCAACTTTCCCAGTCGTATTTCTGACTGTTCACAAGTCGTAAACTCTAATTTACAGCAACTCAGACATGACATGAACATGGCAATATTCAACCAAACCAAAAGTTATCTGTTCCAGCCAAGATTTTACAATTAAATTAACTGATACTCATTAGTTTGAACAAAGTTGAATATTTTAGTGTGAGTCAATCAGGGAATTTAAAGCATGTCCACCATGTTTTAAAGTCCCTGACAGAACATGGAGGACATGGTAGAGATACAGGATATAGTACATCAACAGCTTCTATTCAGTTCTATATTCATGTATATGGACTTTTTATGTCATCATAGGGCTACATTTTTATATATAGTTTTTTTTTTTATATATACTATATTCCTTAATTTTACTCCTTTTCATACCTGTCGACACTGGTAATCATCTCTCTCTCTTGCTCGTCTCTCTCTCTCTCCTCTCTCTTCTTCTCTCTCTCTCTCTCTCTCTCTCATCTCTCTCGTCTCTTTCCCGGCCTCTTTCCCTCTGTCCACAGCTGTGATCTCCACACAGTGGGGCGATTGCAACAAGCAGGAGTGGAGAGGTGGAGAAGAAAGGCCTTGAGGTCGTGCTACAAGAACAGCCTGACAAAAGCCACCAAAAAACGCTGCACGTTCTGTGGTGAGGAAAAAAAGGATGAGATGAAGGGATGATGGAAGCTGGGACGAATGCTAGGACAAACAAGAAGGGGGAGAGAAGGTCAGTATGGATGGATGTGGGTGAAGATAAGGAGCAAGAGGATCTGAGAGATTAGCTTAAAAGAGAGAGAAAGTTAAAGGAAGAAACCACTAAAACTGGGGGGTGCAAAATATATTCAAAAAGGGGAAAAGAGAGAAGGACTCAGTGGTGATTGGGTAAATGATTCTATACGTTAAGGCAGAAACCTGAGCTAAAGAAAGAAAACAATTAATCACATTAAGATTTTACAAAAGGAAACTACATTCAAACTGAGATAGATGGAGAAGGCAAACAGGAAGCTGCAGGTAGGATTGTTGAGTATTCTTGATTGAAACACACCAGGCAGGAGGTTTCACAAACAGAACGAGGTGTTAAGTCAAAGAAAATCACCAAAAGCAACAGAAAAATAAAGTCAGAGGTACAGTAGAAGAAAAACAGTCTCACGGAGGCTGTGTGATAAATGTGTCATTTGTAGTTTCCTGCTCAAAGAGAAAAATTTTAAACACTAGAAATGTATCAGTTTGTATTTTATAACAAACAATTACAGCATTTATTGTGAAATAGAATCACCAGCGCTGGTTGAAATATACCCTTAATTCACAGAGTAAGATTGTAAAGCAATATCCATCGGAACAAAGCGGCGGCGTAATTGATCAG